GAATTGTGATATATACCCGTTCTACCAGCAAGTTTTAAAAGCTAAATCAGAATGTCGACCAGATAATATCGAAATTACTAAAAATTTGGCAAAAGTACCTCTTCAGGATCTTCTGTCTCATACCACAAACTTAATTTTCATATTACAGGAAGATATAATATCCAGAATTACCATAGGCAAACATCAAGTTTCTGCAAGTCTAGTCTCTAGTAGCAAGCTATGGTTTTGATGGCAGCTCTGGACATTCTAAATATAAAGAGAATCTCTTGAACGAAGCCGAAGGTTCGCAAGATTCCAGTGTTTTTGAAACTACGCTTATACTTGACTGACTACGAGTGTTGTTATTTGGAAAAACTAAACCCCTCAGTCGCCAAGATTTTGTAGACCAATCAAAATTCAATATGCGACAGAAACCAAAAAACATATCATGAATGGAAAAAATAAATTCAAACTCTTAAAACATTTAAATTCGCAGTAAATGGATGTCAAGTAATAGTTACTGCTAAATTCTTAACTATCACCGACTTCATGTCCGATCTATTTAAACCTAAAAAAAGTGCGCTTCAGTACGATCAGTCCACTTCATTGCTGGATTCGTTTTTTTTTTTTTTTTTTTTGAATAAATAATCCACATTTCCTATAGATTAAACTTAAAAATTTGGCAAGTTCGGGGCGAGACAAATAAAGCTGTAATTGCCGAGCAGAAAAAAAATTTACAAAGGTTGTTTTGGGAAAAGCTAAGCCTACATGTCGATTAACCAAAATCTGATTACTTTGGGTCTACTAACGACGGAAATACCACTAGAAGAACATTTTTAAATTATGATTTGTTTTCAGGTTTACTGGGGTTTAATTTAATTAAACTCTTTTGGATAATACTGATCTCAATGGCATGTTAACTTCTATTGAATTTGAATAAATTTGCTTCGAAACCGGTCATATTTTCATGGAACTCTATCCATGGTTTCCGATGCCCGCATCTATTCATAAAGCTTTTATAGACAATAAACAAATAATGTAAAAATGCATTATACCAGTTGAGTATTTGGGAGAAGAGGCATCAGAATCAAGAAAAAAAAAATTATAATCAAGACCGAGAATATCATGCCCGAAAAAGAGCAGTTAGTAACTTAACTGACATTTACCAAAGAGCATTAGATACATCAGATCCTCCAATATCATCACCTTAGTCACAAAGTTTGAAACTTAAAATTAAAAAATTACCGGAAGAAGTTCTTAACTTGTTACAATCATATGTCCAACCGGAAAATCTAAATATATGGATTTAGAAAGCTTTCTGGGTTCCGATTTAAATAGTTTATAATAATATTTAGTTGAATTTTCTTTGTACATTTAAGTGCTAATAAAAGTTTCTGTGTTTATCTTTTTTTTGTCTCGCACAATTTATTTTTACATTATTCAGTGACTAGTCCAGTAACTGAAGGGACCAACCTGTCATTAAGTCGGTCCAGATTTCCGTTGTGGCTCAACTCTTAGGTCTCGGTGGTCGCTTCCAAGGTCAAAAACTTTTACCAAAATGGACCCTAAAACTGGCTTCCCACCAATATCTTCCACAATATGCAAATTAGAGAATTTTTGTTAAGATAAAAAAGAAAGATCTTATATTTATCTACAAAAATGGTCTCTATCATTTTTGTCGGGAATTCGACAGGTTTCGAGATAACCGCAATCAAAAGTCCCCTCGTTCAGCTCCTGCTTTATCTCTATAGCAATGCTGATTAGCTTGTAAACGGGTGGACAAATTGTTTCAGAACTCGGTCAAAAATTGATATTTTCGATGATTTAAAGTTCATTACAATGGGAAAACCCATAGGTATCGATCCATGTGCCTTGAAGCCCGTTATTTCCTGTCAAGAACATTGAAAAAGGGGTCAAATTTGCGATTTCCCACTATTTTGGACCACTCTATAGTAATTCATTCATATTTTTTTTCTTTTAATAGTTTTTTATCCCATTTTTGTTTTAAATGGGATCTTGAGATGTCTCGAATGATCTCAGAAATTTTTTTCCAATATCTTCCTGGCGTTTTAAAACAAAATTGATTTGTTTATTTGCATTTTTCATACGTTTTCGGAGTTCTAGAAATCTTTGAAACAAGCAGTAATTAAAAACTCATATTTCATTATATTGTTATTTAATGCACACTATCTTAAAGCTTAGAGTGTCTTCTTTTCGAATGTATTTTTTTTTTTTTAATAAAGTTGCACCATTTTCCAGAAATTGGGAAAATTGATCACACCGGGGAAAACCGGACTTTTTTTTAAATACTTCTTGTTCCCCGCTGTTCATTTTTTGAACATTAATACCCAGACCGAAGTGAAGCTGATATTCTCACCTTTCCATTTCTATCAATTGATCTCCGTATGTGAGCGTGGTTCTTAACTGTTTGTTAGAATCATCTCCCCCATTTTTACGCTCTCCGCCTGAGATCCATGATATTCCATCATAACCTAACCACGTGTACCCACGAGCCATGCGCACACCTTAATCGTCTGCTTTTGTTGGTATACAATCTCTGTTGTTTTTGGAGTCGTTATTGTCGGTATTATTAATAGTATTTTAGAAAAATATTGATAGTATTTTATCATTATCAATTAAGTTGTTAAAAAAAAGAAGTATTTAAAGTGAAAAATTCGACGTCATTCTTGAATCGTCAAGAATTTGTTTTTCGTTTGTGGGGAACAGAAAAGGTTTGGTTGATTTAAAATAAAGTCTATAAATTTGTTGTAATTCTTATTACATTTCAATAATATATTTTTGTAAAGCTCTTGTTGCAGCAATGGAAGCGGACTCCGTTCCAAAATGTTTCCTTTGTGCCCAGGAAGTTGTGGATGACGTTGCAAATGTCACTTGAGGCTTAGAAAAATTAATTAATGTGAGCAAGGAAAGGGACGATAATTTTCACCTATTCATAAAGAAGCAATCCTCTATAAAGATACACGAAACCTGCAGGAGAAACCAGAGGAATGGGGATGGAAACGTGCAGAAGATGTACTGCTACCGGTGCAGACCACAAGGGATCCCCCCCCCCGGAACTCTTGAAGATGATTTTTTGTCAGTGCAAGACAGGCTGCGAGAAGAATTGTTCATGTTTGAAAGCCGGACTGAAATGCTCGCCTGTCTGTGATTTGTGTCAGTCGACACAGTGTTTTAATTATAACAAAAATGAAGGTATTTTCCCGGAATAATTAGAGATGGATCGGGACCCAGAAGGGGTTGAAGGGGAGTATGATGAAATAGCTGTCGAGACAGCAACACAGAGGTTGGAAAAACAGGGGGAAGGGACGCGTGGAGGAGGGGAAGGAATAGAGCAAAAGCAAGACGATGAAGAGTATGATTCTGGTGACATTGAATGGTTTAACGTATGATAAATTATAAGCATTGCTATGTATTTTGTATTTTCAACATGTTTTTCATAATAAAAGAAATTTTTCAGAAATTTTCTTATTTTTCTGAAATCCTGGACCTATATTGTTCCGATAGAAGTTGGCGAAAATTTTGCAAAAGACGCAGAAAATATAAAGGGTCTTCTCGGGTCAATATTCATCACACTCTAAAACTAGTAACCCACTATTAGGCAAAGCGCCGGGATTTGAGACTGCCACATGAAAAAAAAAAAATAGTTTTGCAACGCAAATTACACAGAACATTCGGCAATATAGATGAGATACCCCAAGCGCTACTTTACAGAAAAAATCCCGTAGAATCCGCCAATAATTGTCGAAAGATCGATTGGTGTCCGGATTTCCATTCATAGGCCCCATAATTTAGTGAGCAGAGGTATGCCGCTGGCGCCATCTACAATTGGTCTCCAAAGTCCAAAACATGAAAATCAATGTATTCCCAACTCCCAACTCCCAACATTTCTATTCATTGCAAAAATTCGGGCTTTTTCGAAGGCCATTTTTGCAAAAAATATTCGCCTTGCGAAAAAAATGGTAGGGACCATTTTTGTAGATAATGATACGATCTTCATTTTTTATCTAAACAAAAATTGTCTAATTTGTACATTTTGGCAGATATTAGCGGGAAACCATTTTTTCGGACTTTAGAGGCCATTTTGAGCCATTTCCGACCCATCAGTGTTGGTAAAAGTTTTCGCCCTTGAAAGCAACCGTCAAGACCTAAGAATTGAGCCACAAAGGAAATCTGGACCGACTTAATGACAGCTTTGCATATTTTCAGGTCTTCAGTTACTGGACTATGACCTTTACTTTGTTATAACATTGTTAAATGTGGAAAAAATTGTCACTCAGATAACTTTTGTCATCCACAATGAGTCTTGACTTAATTAAAACCTATGCGTTTTTTTCATACTACAGTACATAGTATCTACACATGATTTTTTTAAACTTTTAACTTATCTTAGATCTTAAAGTATTGTCATCATCATCAACAATGATATAAATTTGTTGTGGGCTTCTTTAAAATGTTTAAATTTTGTTCAGACAGTGTTTAGTAGCCAAATTATATTGAAATAAATAAGTTAATTCAGCTTCAGAATATAAAATAATTTTGGGAAAAATAGTGAGATTCTGTACCATAGTGCGATCGCACAAGTTACTGTATGGTTTCTGATAATTTCATAAACTTTGACCCGCATTCAAAATAATTATGGATTGATGCGGCGTCCTTTGGAAAAATATGCAAATTTCGTTTAAAACGGACTTTACTCAATCCCATTTAGAATCTCTTTTCACATTTCTTTTATCGTTTCTACTTTTCTTATACTATTGATTAGTTATCTTTGGCTGGGCACTATCCACCCTGTCACCTCTGAGGTACCGCTACTGTTCTAAAAGACCGAATTCCAGTTACGCCAGTGAACGCCAAAGCGATTATTAAATTATTATCACAATAGAAATTACCAATGATGGAATTAGATGAGCGGGATAAATGTGAAAAACCATCCGTCACACTTTCACGCAAACCGTGTACGTATTGACGTACTCTCCTTTATTGAAAAAATAAAAAGTTACCTCCAAGTTTCTTGGAGTTCGGTATTCGGACGCGTTTCTTTTCATCAGACCGTGTTTGTATATGCTGAATTTATTTGAATCCTTTGTTTTGGTGGAAGACAGGAGAATGGTCTCGGCGTCCACTTGCGTGCCCCTACGTCTCTCCCAAAATATCTTTTTGAAGGTCATTCGAAACTTTTTGCTCAGCAAGCAATAGATAAGGAAGTTGCAAGGAGCATTCAGCATTACCATGAAGTTGCAGAAGTTGCCTAAAACTTGAGAAAACGATAAATATAATTCAGTTGCTTTCTATTTAACACCCATTGCGAAATAAAATTCACCCTAATTTGAGTAAAAATCCTATTCTAGCCTTAATAATTTTTCCGGGATTTCTTTGTAGTCAAATTATAACTTCAAAACCAAATTAAAATGCTGGAGTGCGTTTAGAAACCACGCATGGCGCGTCTGGACCCTATTCTAATATATGTGGTCAGACGCGTCGTGTGAGGTTTCTAAACGCACTCCTGGTTACAAAATGACATTGTTGACAATTGACATTTTAACCTGTAACCCTTAAGAAAATGGATCTGGGGGTTATGATGACAACCTGTGTTATTTTTAGCAGGTCTGTTATTTTATAAACACACAGAAATAGCAACCGTATGTCATAGAGGAAGTAGTCAGAGTGTGCTTAAGCGCCATATTGTTACCATCTTAATGTCATTTGTAACATTCACATATAAATTTTGTGGTTTGATTTTTTATTTTTCGGTATTTCTTGAGTTCATTTAATTTTTATAGTGTTAGTTGAGAGAGCTTGAGGACATAATGGTATCTTGAGCTTCACGCGTTTGTACACGCCTAGATCGTATAGAAATTAAAAATGTATAGGGGATAACCATAGAGGTATGGGGATTACACATTGACATATGTCAAACTAGAGCTAATGGAGTGGGGCTAGTCAGTTTTGGTGAGAATAAATACCTTTTTTTTTAAATAGCTTCATTTAAATGAAGTCGCCATTTTCTTTTCCGTCATATCGCAAAATAGTGATTATGTCGTCTCTACTTCATTCTAGCTTGAAGGAATATTATTATTATAAATGATGGCTCTCCCACACGAATTTCTGGCCCCTTCTGCTTTAGACTTTGCTTTAACGTCGCCAATATTAGTACCTAAATGTGAATAGAAAACAATTTCTGATACTGTGGGTTCTGATCATATTCCTATCTTAATAACTATTAAAAATAATCCCGATAAACAGAAGGTGTTTCCTTCAAATATTTGGAACGAAAAAAAGGCTAACTGGGTTTCCTTCAAATCATATTTGGACAATATTTTTACCTCTTTATCATCTGAATCTACTTCATTTCCAAATTTCATTGAAGCTGTCACGGCAGCTGCAGAATTATCTATGCCCAGAAACAATTCTTTTACTCCTTCAAGGTTTCTTCTAGCATGGTGGGACTCTGAGTGATCCGATTTAATTGAGAGTAGAAAGATAGCTGAATGAAACTATAGTCACACATCGAATTTTACAATTTTATTTTTTATAAAAATCTGCAGGCCAAAATTAAGCTGATATTCAAACAAAAAGCATAGAACAGCTGGAAAAAATTTGTTAGTAATCTAAACAAAAATACTCCAATATCTTCAGTATGGAGATATATTTCAAACAAAAATAAATTTAATAACAAAACTGTTCTGGTTCCAGATCTAATAGAAAAATTATTTGACCATATTGCTCCTCCATTTGTTGTTCCAAGTTTTATTCCTCAGCTGGTAAATAATAGGGAGTAGGGAAATAAAAATAACCTTTATTCAAAAATAACTTTAACTGAATTAGAATTAGCAATTAAAACCACTTGTAACACAGCTCCTGGAAAAGATAGCTTTTCTTATTCTTTGATTAAAAATTTACCAGACAATTCAAAAACTTAGTAGAAATTTATAACTAATGGTGGTTACAAGGAATTCTTCCTGAATATTTTAAGGAAGTGGTAATTATATTCATTATTAGACCTATGAGAGACCCTAACGATCTATCATCTTACCGCCCAATTTTTCTGTCAAAAGGTCTTTAGACGCCTGTACTCAGTTAGTTAATAACATTCAGTATTCATTCTGAAAAAAAGAATACACAGCATGTATTTTTTTAGATCTAAAAGGGACATATGACGCAGTTGATTTAAACATCTTACAAACAAAACTCTCCTATTACGGTTTTGATACAAACTCCTCTGCCAATATTATTGAGTTATTTAGAAACAGGAAAGTATATATCAGAAATCACTATAACCTTCTGCATGACCCTAGAATTATCAACCAGGGTATTCCTCAAGGATCCGTTCTGAGTCCCTTTGTTTTTTCAATATTTGTACGGCAAGCTTGCATGAGATCTTCGATCAACCGATTAAGTGTATCAGTACGTGGATGATGTATGTATTTATATGTAAGTCTTATCACGATTGTGTTGTAGATCTTAAATATGTCATATATTGCCTTACAAGCTGGTTATTTGATCATGGTTTCTCTTTGGCTGCAAATAAATCAGCTGTGATGGTTTATACTCGTCACAGCCTGATAAAAGGAGAAGTCATTGAGTTTAAGTCAATATCTCTTCCAATAGTAAGTTACTTCAAATACTTAGGAATTGTTTAGGACAATAAGCTTACATGGAAAAAACATTTTGATTACACTCTATCCAAATGTGAAAGAGGCATTAATATTCTTAAATGTGTCACAAAATTTAAATGGGGTGCAGACACAACAACGTCGTTAATGTTTTATAGATCTTACATCCGATCAATCGTCGACTATGGGTGCATATTATATGGATTAGCTGCGAACTCAAGCCTTAAGTTATTAGATTGTATGCAAGTTAAAGCAGTCAAAATATGTCTCGGTGCTTTTGAATCTTCCCCTACTCCAGCGGTTCTTGCAGAAACACAAGAGCCTCCTCTTAACTTACGAAGACATTTTCTAGCATACAAAAAGTTAAATACATTTAAAATGTTTTCGGATAAAATACTGAATTCTTCCTTTATCCTGAATATTGAAAACCTAACCAACAAATATTGGAAATTTAAAAATAGTCCACCTTTGGCTGTAGCCTGTGTATCTTCAAATCAGTTTATAAATAAAATTGAGTCTTACGATATAATTCCTATATACCAGTTTAATTTTTTCTCCTTATTGTTCAAGCCAACAATATTATTCCCTGAGTTTACTTCTTCCTCTAAAATTAATAATATAATCATAAAATCGGTAGTGGGAACGCTAGATACAGTTAATACTATTTTTTTGCGATGGGTCCTACAGGAAAACAAGGTACAGGATGCGCTTTTTATGTGGAAAATGAAAACAATATTTCCAAATTTCGTTTACCAAATTATTCATCTGTTTATACAGCGGAGGCTTTTGTAATGTTACAAGCTACGGAGGAAGCAAAACAATTATTCTTTCAGACTCGAAATATATTTTATTTTCAATTTCTAACTATTCCTGCAATATTAACAAAAATCCTATCATAAGAGGACTTTGGCAACACTTTGATTCAAATAACTCATATACATTTATTCACCCTGTTCTTCCAACATCTATTCGCCATATTACAAATTTTAAAATGTCTAGGTATTATTGTACGACTTTAACCAGGATGAAACTAAATCATGGGGGTTTTCCGTCACACATTTCCAGAATTGTTATTGATATATCATGTTAATGCTACAATTCTTATTTTGCTGATATCAACCACCTCATTTTTTCTTGTAGCCACCATAATTCTCATCGTTCAGATATTCTCAAAAAAACTTTCTTCTCTAAATATCCTTTTTCTATCAAGTATTTCTATTTTATTAAGTTCATTTGATGAGAAAATATATAACTTAATTATTGAATTTTTAATTAAAGAAAATATTAAAATATAAATAAATAATTATTCGGTTTACAAAAGTCTGTGACAACAAAAATTACGTTTAGATGCCAATTTTCAAAAAAAAAAGTTAGTAAACAGAGTCGTACTCGTACGTATTATGATATTCTTAACATTATTTACAGATCTCCAAAAATATTCGAAAAAAATGGATTAAATGCAACAGTTTGATGAACTCTTAGGTATTATATTCTTGGATGCCTTGGTACTATTTATAAAATTACTCAAGCAATAGTGTATTTGGTACTGTGTTTACCGTTGGCTTATTATGTTTAAATTAAACAAATCAAAAGTATATTGCTTAATCAATTTTGTTGATAGTGAAGATGAAACTATAATTATAATTGAAGAAGAATGGACCTTTTTTAATAATTAAATGATACTAAGAAACTAAGAAAGAAATGGCAGATGACAAGATCCCCAGAAGATACAAATGTATAAAATAAGGCTACCCAAAGATTGAGGAGAAAAATACTAAATCACAAAGAAGAATCCTTTAACCTAGTAGGGCTTACAGATAACAAAGAAACTGATTATTCTCTCTGAAAGGCAACGAAACCACTGTCTTCCTATCAAAATAGCAGATAACAAATGGACAAGATACAATTAACAGAAAGCTGGTATTTTCGCTGACCACCTACAAAAAACGTTGCCATTAGAAGAAAACCAAGACAATCCTAACGAGGCGATCCATAATATGAAACAACTTGAAATTAGGCATGTTACTCCCAATGAAGTTGCGAATGAAATTCAGACAAGCATCAACCTACAGAAAGCCCCTGGATATGACCTTATTACTGGAGAAATATTAAAGAAACTTCCAAAACCAACCTATCGTTAAATTGACATACCTCACACAGAGATAAATTTGTCTATGTAACCAAGAATGCGTATTTTAAATTTAGCATGACTAATTCTTAACTGAAGTAAATATTCTTTATTTGAATCCTGGCATTCTTAAATTAACGTTGCTGTATTCATTTTTTGAATCAAAAGCTATAAATAAGCGCCAACGTTGTTAATTTCAGAAAAAATAAAAAAAAACAAGCCCGAAAATGCATACTTTTGACTTAGTCCAAGCATTGAACAAAGTTTGGTACACTGGTCTGATACAGAAACTTGAAAAAATGCTCCATAGACAATGTGTCGACATTCTTCAATCATATCTAACAGGAAGAACGTTTAGAGTAAAACAAGAGGAGGCATATTCCGAAATGAAAGAAATGAAAGCAGGTGTCCCATTGGGCAGTGTACTAGGACCAGCCCTTTACTTATTATACACCAACGATATCCCTCAACAACAATAGCAACGTTTGTAGATGACACTGCAATATTGGAAGTTCGCTGAATCAATTCAGATACTTCAGAAAAAATCCAGGAAACCTGCAACAGAATCAATAGATGTACAAAAAAGTGAAAAATCAAAATAAATCAAACTAAATTGGTGTATGTTGATTTTATGCCCCTACAAAATGAACCAAAACAAATAAGGATAAACAATAATGTTACTCCGTATCATAATTTAGCTAAATACCTAGGGATGAACCTAGATGTACGACTTAAATGGAAAAAGCACATAAAAAAGCGAAAAGAACTTGAACTTAAATCCAAAAAATTATATAGCTCCTACGAAGAAAATCCAAGTTGTCAGTGTATAACAAACTGATGATTTATAAACAAATCCTAAAACTAGTCTGGAATTATGACACACCGCTATGGGGATGTGTCAGCAAGAGTATTATCAACACGATAAAAGTTTTCCAAAATAAAGTCCTAAGATGCATCGTTGATACAACTTGGTACTATCGAAACGATTATCTTCATAGAGACCTGATGATGCCAACAGGCGAAGAAGAAATAAAAAGGTTTCCTGCGAAATATGATAGTCAACTCCACTCTAATGTCAACGAAGAAGCGCTGCAATTACTGGACTCTACACTCAAGAGAAGCCTCAAAAGGAAGGCATTTGAGCTAGTGTAGTGAACATTGAAAAGTTTAATAAAACGTCATGCCAACTTGTGATGCCTTTCTATAAAAATAATTATTAAGACAGCCTAATAGGGACTTTAGTTCATAAGATTTTTTAGATTAAAATTGTAGGTTATTCAAAAATGATTAGTAACAATATCACACAAAAAAAAAAGAAAAAAAAATGATACACTTAGGTCCTGGTGCTGAAGTAATGTATTTAGAAGTATCCCAACCAATTTTTTTTTAATTGTGATACAAATCAGTTAAGCATTGACCAAAATGATGTCCATGTTTACATTTATTTAATCATTCGATATAAATATATTGTTTTAATTCTATCTGTTTCTTCTATTTCAGGTTTGAAAATTATTAGGAGAAATTCTAATTCGTCTGGGTGTTAAATATTGAATAGACAATTAACAACAACAATAATCAAATGTACTTACTCAGTCTTATATTAATTTCTACCTTATTTTTTGGTTCATTAAAATGATAATAAATCAGGTGTATTGCTGTTGGTATTGAGCATATTAAAAATGCAAATACTATGCCTATTAACATTATTGTTATCCTTTTTTCATTTGTCCAAGAAACTCTGTCCTAAAAAATATAAAAAATCAACAGAAAAACGATATGAAAAACCGCAAATAAAATCTTCACCCTTTATACTAAAAACGTGTCAGAAATGTATCAATTAGGCATTCCAAACTGATTGACTACCAGTGGGTTTTGACAGGTTATGATGTGGCAAAGTTATGGCAACTCTGTAGGCCTGGTGATTAGACAAGGTGAGTGAAATAGATAGTTACATAGATTGATCATCCCTATTTTTTAAAATAAACATAAGCTTATGCGTTGAAGTAAAAATATAAGCAATTATTATTTTTTAAATATCTAAAGTCTGAAAATTGGTTTTAAAACACATTTTTGCTAAACTGATTTAAATTAATAAATATTTGCCAGGCAATATGACTGCTCGCAAACGACCAGCTTTGAGCAATGTATATAACATATATGTATCATTGACCCCGTTAATGACAAGATGACAACAGGGTTGCCATATCTAAACCAGTACCCACTGGTAGCCATTTGGACAGGTCGTTGGAATGCCTAATTAAAATGAGAAATTAAATATATTTAAAAACTTCCCAACGGACATTTCTCCTAATGCTTGTATCAGCCAAATTTTTATTCCATTTGGATACTTTTCTATCCTATTCCTTCCCCTATGTCACCAATACAATTTAAATAGAGACAATATAAAGCATGTAAAATGTATTTTTATAGAGAATTCAGTGTGAAGGAGACGAAGGTGTCACGTTTGGAATAAAAATCTACCTGTTTCAAGCAATTTTTTAAATTCTTTTTTATTAGAAGATATTGCTAATAGAATGATCTTCATATTTGGAATGATCTTTTTTGGGTATCTATATAGATTATATTTTTTATATATTTTTTTTATTTATTTTTATTTATTTCTATTTATTTCTATTTATTTCTATTTATTTCTATTTATTTCTATTTATTTCTATTTATTTCTATTTATTTCTATTTATTTCTATTTATTTTTATTTATTTCTATTTATTTCTATTTATTTCTATTTATTTCTATTTATTTCTATTTATTTCTATTTATTTCTATTTATTTCTATTTATTTCTATTTATTTCTATTTATTTCTATTTATTTCTATTTATTTCTATTTATTTCTATTTATTTCTATTTATTTCTATTTATTTCTATTTATTTCTATTTATTTCTATTTATTTCTATTTATTTCTATTTATTTCTATTTATTTCTATTTATTTCTATTTATTTCTATTTATTTCTATTTATTTCTATTTATTTCTATTTATTTCTATTTATTTCTATATTTCTATTTATTTCTATTTATTTCTATTTATTTCTATTTATTTCTATTTATTTCTATTTTTTTCTATTTATTTCTATTTATTTCTATTTATTTCTATTTATTTCTATTTATTTCTATTTATTTCTATTTATTTCTATTTATTTCTATTTATTTCTATTTATTTCTATTTATTTCTATTTATTTCTATTTATTTCTATTTATTTCTATTTATTTCTATTTATTTCTATTTATTTCTATTTATTTCTATTTATTTCTATTTATTTCTATTTATTTCTATTTATTTCTATTTATTTCTATTTATTTCTATTTATTTCTATTTATTTCTATTTATTTCTATTTATTTCTATTTATTTCTATTTATTTCTATTTATTTCTATTTATTTCTATTTATTTCTATTTATTTCTATTTATTTCTATTTATTTCTATTTATTTCTATTTATTTCTATTTATTTCTATTTATTTCTATTTATTTCTATTTATTTCTATTTATTTCTATTTATTTCTATTTATTTCTATTTATTTCTATTTATTTCTATTTATTTCTATTTATTTCTATTTATTTCTATTTATTTCTATTTATTTCTATTTATTTCTATTTATTTCTATTTATTTCTATTTATTTCTATTTATTTCTATTTATTTCTATTTATTTCTATTTATTTCTATTTATTTCTATTTATTTCTATTTATTTCTATTTATTTCTATTTATTTCTATTTATTTCTATTTATTTCTATTTATTTCTATTTATTTCTATTTATTTCTATTTATTTCTATTTATTTCTATTTATTTCTATTTATTTCTATTTATTTCTATTTATTTCTATTTATTTCTATTTATTTCTATTTATTTCTATTTATTTCTATTTATTTCTATTTATTTCTATTTATTTCTATTTATTTCTATTTATTTCTATTTATTTCTATTTATTTCTATTTATTTCTATTTATTTCTATTTATTTCTATTTATTTCTATTTATTTCTATTTATTTCTATTTATTTCTATTTATTTCTATTTATTTCTATTTATTTCTATTTATTTCTATTTATTTCTATTTATTTCTATTTATTTCTATTTATTTCTATTTATTTCTATTTATTTCTATTTATTTCTATTTATTTCTATTTATTTCTATTTATTTCTATTTATTTCTTTTTATTTCTATTTATTTATTTCTATTTATTTCCATTTATTTCTATTTATTACTATTTCGCCAACGACACAGCAAAAATTAATAGATATATATTTTTGTTGCCAAAAAATAATAATTGATATAAATAACTTTTTGAGATAGTTTTAATTTATTTTTAATATATTTTCAAATTAATTTTAATTTATTTTTAACTTATTTTGAATTTTAATTATTTCTTGTCTTTTCACACCATTGTATCAAGTTAATAAAGCCCTTTTATATTCCTTACTAGGATGTATATGTTATAGTCCCTTATCTGACTGCACAAAGTAGCATGTCGTATTTTTTGCTTGCTATTTTTGGTTGGGTTCAGGGAAGGGGGATGAACAAAATGTACTATGTCCAGGTGGTGAGAGCTATCGGGTAATCTGCTCAATTCAAAATAATGTCTCTTTTCGGTGGATTATTTCGTTTTTAATGGAAATGAAATAATTTGCTTTAACAATAAAAATCCCTTTTCAAGCATTTTCTGTCATCCGGTTTTGCTGCTATCAATGTAGGGAAATTCCTACACTTATACTGAAAGTAGCAGAACCTGACGTCACAAAAATGCTTGCAAAGGGATTTTTTTATTGTTATAGACGTTTAGAAGCAATTTATGTCATTGTCAGCAAAAAACGAAAAAATTAACTATCGATAAGAAAGATTATTTTCAATTTGACAGGTTACACGACAGCTGCCACCACCAGGACATAGTACATGTTGCTTACCCCCTCCCTTGTACCCAACTACAAATAGCAAGCAAATAACACGACGTGCCACTTTTTGCAGTCAGATGAGGGTCTAATACAGGGATGTCATTTAAAAATTTGCTTCTCATCGAAATTATGTCACTAATTCTCAAAAAAGTTTCTTACTTGAAGTCCGCATTATATTGATTTTTTTTTTTATTTAATTTGCGCAAATTTAGAGTTTATAAACAGTTCTGTATTCGAAAATAATAAAAAATTACGTTGACGTTTTTTTTCTGTTGATCCAACCATTAAATATGTCAATTTTGACCTACGATTGACAAAAAGAATACTTCTGAAGATGAGTCCTACATCTTAACTAGTATTTTCAGATTTTAGAAATTCGAATGGGCCGAAAAATATTTGGGTTAAGAAAACTCGAAAAGAAATAAAGTTGTCCAAATTCGTTCAGAGGACCGTGGGAAATCTTCAAACTTAAATACTACTAGATATTTATTAAAAAATTTTAAAATAAATACTTTTTCAAGGTTTACAAAAACATTCAATCTTTCCGCTCTCTAAGTTTTGTTATTATTGATATTTCCTAAAATGTTTTTTTTTAAAGATAAGTGGAACAATACTTAATACTTCAAAAGAAAAAATTAATGAAGCATTAAATATGACACCCTATAGACATATAATTTTCGATATCTTAATATATCAAATAATGGATGTACACTGGATATGTTAAATATCTATAGGATATATCCATTGGTTACTATATATCCTGTATATAGACGGACATTTGGATATCCATATTAGATCCAGTGGATATCTATGATATCCTGTGGATATATTGGATATCCACAAAATATATTCTGTGGATATCTCTGGGATTTCCTGTATTGTCTGAGAGATAACCATTAGATATTTTCCTGGATAGCCATAGGGTATCTTCTATATCCTGGATATAGACGGACATTTGGATATCCATATTAGATCCACGGGATATTTATGATATCCTGTGAATATATTGGATATCCAAAAAAGATATTCTGTGGATATCCCTGGGATTTGGTGTGTTGTCTGGGTATGATTAGTTTTTGAGATATGGGATATAAAACTTGGTAATGACAGATGTGTACAATAAAACTAATTTCCCTACTACTCATTTCCAGAGGTTCTTTTATACGCTGGACAAAAAAATATTCAGTATTTATCTACAATACCTACTTTAAATTATACAGTATAAAGCAAAAATATAGAATAAATTGATTATTTCGAAAAATCCTAAAAAACGACAATGTTTATTTTTATATTACATCACATTATTTGACTGATGGCGTAATCTATGATTTTTTTACCTTATTTGAAAGATAATTTAATGGGAAATTCAGCAGTATGGAAATGAATAACTCAGAAATCGATCTTAATCCTCTTGCGGCTACAACAAAATATTAAGTACCTTAAAGAATGTCATCTCATGGTAATAAGTTCATAAACTTTATTTAAGTAAATGTAAAAAATTACGCAATATAATCTACGAAATTTTTAAATATAGGTTTGTTCCAACAACAAACTTGGGACCGTACATAAACCAGTCCACAACTTATTGTCGACGACTGATAGTCGACGACCTGTCGAGGATTAGGACGCGATTCGGAACTTGGATGTGTTGGAACACATTTTTGTGTTGTCAGACACACTCTCTGTTGATAACGTCAAAGTCAAAGCAAATTTAACAAATGTTAAATTTTGAATTTGGGAAATAAAAAAATTATAAAACTTATTAAAAGATTTATACATTTAGATTATTCGATTGGTTACCCAGGTAGCAAGCGTACGTCATAATGACGTACTTAATTGGTGATTTTCTGACGATGGACGTCTTCGACGCAAAAATAACGTCTTACGGACGTCATTAAGTGGACGTTATTATGTCGTTCTTCACATGACGTCACTATGACCTATTTTTTTGGTCATTAATGTAACCAATAAATAGAACTTAAAAAAATCTAGATAATTATTATGTCTCATAAAATTCCAACTTTACAGCAGATATTTCAGAAAATTAATACAGTGGTTTTGATAGAGTCAAAATTACCTAGGTACTTCAGTCACTTTAAAAATATAAAATAATCAACAACTTGGTGGATAATTATATATTGTCTAATCACGTTTATATATCCCGTGACATGCTCTCAGACTATAGAATAGTATAAGAATGGTATAAGTAATTCCTATATAATTTGTAAAATTTTATAATTTGCATATTATACAAATTGCTAATTGTTTTCGTTATTTTATAATTCCCGCGAAAGTAACACGCAGTCGTTAGAAATCGACACGCTCGCATCGGATTGGTTAAAGTTTAAGCGACTTGGCATGTCCGCCGTCTTCCTTCTTCTGTGAACAACGAACAACAGCAGGTGACAGGTGATGCCGTGAGCCGTGCCGTTTTTTAAGCTTAAGCGTTAGTTGGTGTTTTTCAAGTTGTTATGGATGCCGCGTGGCGTGGCGTCTCTAATTATATGATTATTCTTAGTAATTTTATTATAAAAATAAGTTTTTTTGAATTCGGTTGTGCCAGTGGTTACAGTGTTTAGTTAGAATGTTTTCTGTAGTCGAGTTTAATGAACAATCTGGAGGCGGGCTTGCAATAGTAAACTCTAACTGGACTCGCGTATCGGGGACAACACTAATCATTTGTAGTGCGCATGTCGTAAGCGTTTTATTTGTATATCCGTCTCTTTTTGACAGAGTAGGTGAGCTGTGTCCAGGCCGTTGGTGTTTATGCCGGTCGGCGTAGCCAGATATGGTTTAAAATTTTCTAGTGGCGGCGAAGCCGCCACCCTACGTGAAGTCGTTGCTTCGTCTTCTTGTTGTCACGGCATTATTATTATTTGTTCATGTAAGTTAAATTTGTATCTAAGGTTTATAAAATACTACTGCTAATCACGGTGTAAATGAAAACAAACAAGACGAATTCACACAAACACCTCCCATCACAGCAATTACAAATGATTAGTGTTGTCGCCGATACGCAAGTCTAACTGGTTTACCCCACTTAAAAAGGAAGTATTTTGGCCGCCTTACAAAGACAATAAAGCTTATATTAAAGCGGTAAAACAAGGAGAAGAAATTTCTGATAAATGGAAATTATTGTCTATATCAAAATGTTATTACACTACAGGTACGTACTAGGTAGTTTGAGATTATTGATTTCTAAAAATTATATTTAATGGTGAGTGAGAATTGAATTAAAAAATATGGAAAGAACCCTAAATAAACTTGTATTGCTGAATTTCTTCGATAACACAGTGGTGAATTTTTATCAAAGAAATAATTTAATTTTCGACAATTTATTATAGGTACTTTTAATTTTAGCCATATGCCTCATAATATGGGTTTTCTTGCAGATGATTATGAAAAAGCCCATAAGAAACTAAAAGTTGCAGAAGTAACTTCCGATTTACAATCAGATTTAGAAGAGGAGTTTTCAAAATATTCCTCAGGAAAGAGAAAGGTGTCCCGACCTCTTCGTTTTGAGGAGGAGGAAGACACAAACGTTAAAAGAAAAGTGTCTAAATCTTCGAACTATGATGATGAAGAAGAAGAAGAGCCAAATCGGAATTTCCTTCCAAGGCCACCACATATAAAGGGAAAGAATATATTTGAAGGTAAGATATGGAAAGGTTGAAACTATACCTCATTATTATGCTAATTTTAAAAAGAAACTTACAGAAAATAACTTACAATCATTATTTTTATTGAGAATGAAGAAATTGTGTTTAGTATTAAGAGAAACTAGACAAACTTAAGTTGACTTTTCTACCATAAAATATTTCTCACCTAATAAAAAGTGATGCAGATTTAACATTCCTGTTTGTGTATAAAATTATTATTATTATAAAATTATATTCATACTATTTTAGTGTTTGAGGTTATTAATTAAAATGCATATTAATTTCACAGAAACTTTAGAGTACACACCATCCTGTGGAGAGAAATCACGTAGTAGTGATGTACGTAGTGCGTATGAAGTTTCACCTCAAAGTTTTTCACAGTCTACAACATCAAAAGGTTCTGTTAAAATAACAAGTGGCACTACCCGAGATTTCCTATTGCAAGAAGCTACTCCTCGGCGAATTTCACAGCCCTCCACGTCTAAAGATTTGAATAACTGTGTAGAAGGTCAAGGAAAATCAAGTAATAATTTTAATTATTCATCCAATACTTAGCAAAACTTACTTTTTTCAAATTAAAGGGTTTTCGGGTCAATTTCTAAAAAAAAAAATACATTTTAATGTTGTATTTAGATTATGTGGTTTTTCATTGTTTTAGTGTTTGAAATACTTTTAACGAATTTGCTGGAGATTAAGCAACAAAATAAAATTCTAATTATTTTGGAAAAGAAAAATACTGACAGAAACCCACAGTCTTTACCTGAAGATTTAAATATAGAATTTCCCATTAGAAGTAGTCATGATCTAGATAAATTTGAAGCATATCTTTCAAATCAAGAAAATGTTGAAGGAGCTAAAGCTGTTGTAAGTACATTTTATTAATTAATTATATTTTGGATGTATTATTATACTTAATAGTGTCATTACACTACATTTACTACTGAATTCCCAGCTAGTGCATAAAAAACCCCATCTATGTTAATAAGCTGAAATTCCGGGATATTTAAACTTGCATGCAACATACTTTTAACGTAACCCTTACATCCCTGTAACTACCGAATGTCTGCTTTAGCAAGACATTTATAGAACATCTCAGATGTTCAGAAGTGAAGTTTGAAAAACGACACACTAGCACTTTTACAGTACTTTTCCCTGAAAGTTGTTCTTTATAGATTTTATAATGTGAGTTAGTTATACAGAATTAAACAGTGTGTCCACGGATAGACTTAACTGTACTTTTAATTGAGAAAACGTACCATTTACCAAATATATTCAAACGCATTATTTATTTATAAATTCTCAAGAAAAGACAAGAAAAATTACAATAATTGACAATATTTTTTTAGGTTATTTAATTTGTCATAAATGAAAGCTACGTTCACAATGCGCTGTTTACTAAACTTCTCTTGGATACATTTTTATAGCAAATTACATAATTACCTTTTGCTAACATAATAGGTAACAAATAGAAGTTTTGCGAGGTTTTATTTCTCTCAAAAACCTCTCATGAACGTTACATTTATGTTGTTATGTTATTACGTTGCCTTAAAACAACATCGCCAAAAGGCTTGGGAATGTTATGTGCTAGCTGGGTTAGTTCTTGACACATGTTACTATCTTCAGAAGAAAATAAAGATAGTCTTTGACATGTCTTTCTGTAATATTTGTACCATCCTATGAAGATAAGGACCAATTTTTATCTCCTTCAGAAGATTGTAAAAAATGGTCCTTGAAGTAGATGTGGAGAAAAGTAATTTGGTTCGACCAAATAAAAGGTGTAGTGTGAGTGAATATATAGGTATGCAAACATATTTTTTTTAGGTGTTATATTGGTCTTCTCTTGGAGGTAAAGATTGTGCTTCAAAAACAAACAGAATCTTGAGAGAAGTACTGCATGACTCAGTAGCAACGAAATACAATTTTTATGGAAGACACTCAAAGAAACCTTTTTCGGAATTAAAAATCAATTCAGAAATTATTAGTAAGTATATTTATATGTACTTATTCTTATAAACATCTTAAGCTGAATATAATCGATTCAGTTTAAGATGTTAATAAGTATTACAGTTTACCTTTTATTATTTGCTATTTTCATGATATTTTAGAAACTAATTTCATTTTTATTTGACATATAGATGCAATAAAGCCTATTTATAAAATCTTAAAAAAAATTATAGAACTTGCAAAGGGTTCTGCTATAATAAAAGTAAAACTATACTTACAAAATAAATAATGTGTAGGTATACACATATTATCAATTAACAAGATTGTATTTTGTGTAAATTACAATTGCCAGTTGTAGCTTTAGGCACTGTAAAAGTAGTAAAATAACATGGTGAACTACATTTGTACAGTCAAGCTTCCATATTATATACTAAAATATTTTGTATGTTTTAGATGCTGTTAAAATATCTTGTAATACTTCTACAAGGGAGATTGAAAACATTATAAAAATTTGGTTGAAGCATGCTCCTGAGAGATTAAGAAAACAAGAATTAAAAGAAGTACGAAATCGTAATAATTAATCAAGGTTATTTTTTTTATAATACCTAATTAAGTTACATATTTTTATTTTATAAAATGTCGACTAGTCGAAAAGTATATTATAAAGAAGTTGTAGGAGATCGTCAAATGTACAGAAGGGTTGCTAATGAAGTTAAAAGTACAGTGGAAATGTTAAAAAGCATATCTGAAAATAATTCAGATGTATCTGTAACTCAATTTGAAGATAATGAAACATGTACTAGTTTATTAAATGATAGTAGTCATAGTTCAAATCAATCTTTATTTTCAAATTCTAATGTCTTTAGAACAAAAAATAATACTGAAATTGAAATGAATTCTAATTGTGTAACTTATTCACCTGGAATGGATGCTTCTAGTAGTAGTAGAAGTAGTAGTAGTGAGACTACTGCTTCTAGTAGTAGTAGAAGTAGTAGTGAAACTAATAATTTGCAATCTTCTTTAAGAGAATGGGCCCTTCGGAACAACATAACACTATCAGGTATTTCAGAATTATTACATATTTTATTTCCACTTGATTCAACACTGCCTTTAGATGCCCGTACTCTATTACATACTCCCGTTTCAACAGTTGATCATAAACAGTTAGATAATGGCGAATATATTCATTTTGGGTTAATTAAAATATTAAAACGAATTATAGTAAAAATACCTTTTGGAAATTCAGCTCCCATTATTAGTATTTCATTCAATATAGATGGAATACCTGTGTTTTCCAACAACAATTCACCAATTACTTTTTGGCCAATACTAGGACTTATTAAAAATGTAGGTATTAAACAAAAATGTTTTGTCAGAGGTGTTTTTTGTGGTAAAGACAAGCCAAAACCGATAAATATTTTTTTAAACGATTTTGTTCAAGAGGTTTCATTTCTTGTAAAGAATGGTTTACATTGTAATGGCAAAATGTATTCTGTAAAAATTCATAGTTTCATTTGTGACGTTCCAGTAAAGGCATATCTTAAGTGTATTAAAGGACACAATGGTTATTCTTCCTGTGATAGGTGTACAGTTGTTGGGCAGTATGTTAACAGGCATATGATTTTTGATAGTATGACTTCCCAAAAACGTACAAGTGAATCATTTTTGCAACAAAGAGATGGTGACCATCATAATTCTGTTTCACCATTAGTCTCTTTACCAATTGATTTTATTAACATATTTGTAATTGATTACATGCATTGCGTTTGTTTAGGTGTGGTAAAAAAAATGATTAATTCTTGGATACAAGGTAAATTTTATAATGTCCGTTTAAAAGCAAGGGATATTACTCTTCTTTCTGATTATTTAACTAATTTATGTACTGCTCTTCCCGATGAGTTTAACAGGAAGCCTTCTAAAATAACAGAAATATCGTATTGGAAAGCAACTCAGTTTAGAACGTTTTTGCTTTACCTAGGTCCCATTGTATTAAAAGAATTTATGGATATAGCTGTGTATGAACATTTTCTATTATTACAATCTGCAATGTCTATTTTATTGTCTAAGAGACATTTAAATATGCTAGGTTGTGATTTAGCAGAGAAATTTTTATGTATTTTTGTTAAACATTCTAAGCATCTCTATGGTTTAGATTTCCTTGTTCATAATGTACATTCGTTGATTCATATAGTTGATGATGTACGACTCTATGGGGTTTTAGATAATATTTCAGCCTTCCCTTTTGAAAATCATTTGCGGGCATTAAAAAGATTAATACGATCTGCTAATAAACCATTAAAGCAACTTTATCGTCGGTTAATTGAATTAAATCAAATTAATAAAAACGCAGAACCAAAGGATGTTCAATTGAATTCAAATTGGAGGCACAGTCGAGGCCCATTGCTCTCGCGTACAGGCTCTAAACAGTACAACAAAATTTTCTTTCAAAATGTGAAGTTTTGTACTTATTACTATTCACGAAACAATTCTTATTGTCTTTCAGAAGAAAAAAAAGTCTTGCAAATACATAATATTTTGGTATACTCTGAAACTAATATCATATTTATTTGTAAACAGTTTCTATCTTACAAATCCTTATTTACTTATCCTTTTGATTCAAGTAATTTGCAAATTTTTGTTGTTGACAATTTATCTGTTCTGATAGAAATAAATATAACCGACATTCTAACAAAGTGTATCGTTTTTCCCCTTAAAGATAACACCTTAGCATCGTTTCCATTGTTGCATAATATCTATACAGCCTAAGTTAATATAAGAAAATATATGCAAAAATACAATAACTATCACATTAATGAATAAATACCAAATAAACCACACATTAAAAAAACAACAATCAATAAATAATTATAACAAAAATTCGAAAGAGCTTTTTTAAATAACGAACTATAGTCATAATGATACTTCCCATGTAGTGGTTCCATAATTTAGTAAGTACTTATACATGTTAATTGAATTTTTTTAAATGCTGTAATTGCAACAGTATTCCCATATAAAATATTTACTGCTATTTTTAGTAAAAGAAAAACTTTAAGCAACTTTTCTGACTTACATTTTTTCAGAATGATCTGCACAACTAAGTTTTTAAATAGTTTTTTTTATATTGTAACTAAAGTGTACTTTTAAAATATATTTAAGGTTTTCAGGATGGTTAACCAATTAGTTTTCGGCACTGAAAAACCGATTTTTATTCTTAATAACTAAGTTGTTTTGCATTGTAATAAATAGAAATTCTTTCCATGATTACGAGTTTTTTTATTAATATCCCTTGCATTAAAAAATACAACCACATTAAGTTTTTCTAATCTAGTTAATTTTAGTAGATGGTCATCCAGTACACTGCCTTAAAATTTTCCTATTTTTATAGTGATTGTGATTCTATTTCCATAAGAAAAAACGAATATCGCGGCATTGGCTGCAACTGTTGTGGTATTTTGCTATTAAATTAAAATCAGTGTTGCATTTTTTACTGCAAATCCCAAAATTAACCGAAAAAGTACGTCTTAATGACGATATTTATAACGTTTAAGTGACGTCATATGTACGTCTGGTATGTGACCTAGAAGGTCATATACAAGCTATATCTAACGTCATAATGACGTCATATACTGACGTCATAATGACGCTGACATTTGACCGTCATTTAGACGTCCGAATGACGGCAACTTCGGGGTTAATATGACGTCTGATATGACCTATAAGGTACGTCATTATGACGTACGTTTGCTGCCTGGGTAGTACAATAAACTTTATTTATTTTAGTTGTGTACTATATTTAAGTCAGAATAATAGTACTTTTCACTTTCTTCACTCCAAAACTCATTATTAATAAGTCAACAGATACACGTATACAATAATAGAAGACTAAATAATGATAATGAAGAAAAACTAAATTACAATCGATAATAGTAATATAATCTTTGGATCAAGACTACAATCGATGCTATCAAAACAAATATAATCAATAAATTTTCAATTTTCCAGAGTTGGTCGTGGTTTATTTACGAGCTCACTTTCGTTTCGCGCATGTCTTGACAATTCGTTCATATTCAGACCCAGGAACTGATTTGACAGTACAGAAACTGGTTTGTGATTAGGTTTGAGTTTGTTGGAACACTAGGTTTTTGTACAGTTTTGAGTCCGAAGTTTGTTGGAACACCAAATCTAGACTGCGCAGAATCCTGACAGTACGTAAACCGATTTGCTATTGTGTTGGAACAAACCTTATAAAGCGAGACATGGAAGAAACATTTTTTCCTGGTTTTACTCATACTGTATATGGTTTATAAAATATACATATTTTTAAATAGTTTAAGGTCTATTATTAATAAATATCTAATAACTAAAATTTTAATAAAAACACAATATAGGGTCTATCAACTTTTTGACCCTATTCAGAATGTAATAGTCCCTAATTTTATTTATTTTAGCCAAGGCTATTTGAGTGCGATATTAAATTGGAGAGTATTTTCATGATAAAATTAAAATTAGATTTACATCATATGATGTACTGAAAATATTGTATAATATCAGTAAAGCATTATTGTCGAAAAATATCTGTAATTATAGCAGTTTGTTAAGACTGCATCGCTCTGTATATCAAAAACAGTCATAAGATTAAGTTGTTCCCATCGCTATTATTATTCAGGAAATCGAGAACTACAACATAATATATCAAAAATTAAGGAAATTTCACCTAAGCCCATTTATTCATAAGCCGACTGCTTGGTCCTTGGTAGGTGAGTAGAAAACCGAAGAGAAACGACTATTTTCATTTGACATTTTTCGAAATTTGACAGTTATACTCAGAAACCAATCGTCAACGTCATTTTTTAAATTATTTTCGAAGCAAAACCTGTCCATGAACTCTAAATTTGCGTAAACTAAATAATAAAGGAGATATATGATTTGGTTTTTAACAGTGACACTTTATATCTATAAGAAGTTTTCACAACAAAAATTATCCCCAAATGACCTTCAAACTAACCTGGGAATTTGTCATCACCCTTCTGGTCTTCTGCGACAAATAAACGGCTCGAACCAAAAAACAATTGAACGTACCTATCAACAACAATGGAAGTATAGCAAAAAATACCGCACTATACCAGTATATGAAGTCCGTATAGGTTTTGCTTTTTCCCAATTCTGTATTCTCTACATTAATCTGTTTATAAGGCACACAACAATAAGTAGAATTGATGCCTGGGTATGAAATATCTGTAACAGTATCATTTGCGCTGGAATCGATATTGTCGTCTGGTTGTATATCAGCTGATCTGATAACTTTATTTGTAGTTAATCTAGGATTATCTTCAATTATACTTTCATTATTAATATCTACTAATGTTCTAATAATTGTACTATTCGGATCAAATGTATTTAAAACTTTCTCTAATTCTTCTTCCATGGTTAGAGTGGTTTTTTCCACGTCCTTAGTCGTGTTCAAATGGTAAGGATAAACAGGTACTAAAATGATATGTGGATGACTAGTACAGTTAGATAATATATGCTTTAATTGTTTTCGGACGTATGTATCGTATCCCTTAAGGTCTGAGTATTCGAATGTCGGATTAGTAGGTTCTATCCTACTGATGCTAGTTTTTACTTCAGACTCTGCTGTTGTAGTATTGTTTCGAGGAGCATCAATTGAACATTCTTGTACGCAGGTATCCGTGAAACTCAGTTGGTATTCAAATGTCGTGGAGGCTGTTGTTAAAATGCAGAAAATGTAGACGATTACTATAACTCTTTTGGCCCGACGTTCTGTACAAAAGAGTTTGCCTTTCATAGGATGGCACACTGCTATGTAGCGTTCTATGGTGAACGAAACTGCTAACCAAGCTGACGTTGCGCCTGGAAGAAAAATATATTTAGATTAGATTAGTGTAGGTTAAATTAGATTCGATTTTGATTTGATTTGAAAGGAGTTAGACATTATTTGTCCTTGCCCACCGCGAACTTTTTTAGGTCTATTGTGGGACTCCGTTATTTATAATATGTCGTCTATATAGTCTTTTTTCATTAGACTTAGTAGCTTCGTAGCTTCGAGTTAGTAGCTTAGACTTAGTATCTTTTCGTACATAGTTATATACTTCTGGCTCTTTTTCATCTAGTCTTGAAACCATAATCTAGCCAAGTCTGTACACTGGCACAGGCCGTGAAATAATGTTTCCTCTTCTTTCTCTTCACAAGACCTGCACAATGTTGCTTCTTCTGTTGGATTAATGACATTCATGTACCTTCTTAGGCGACAGTGTCCAGTAAGAAGACCTATTGTTATTCTAACGATTCGTTTTTGATCCAGTAGGTATATCGTGAACTTGGTCAACGGTTCCTTAATTCACTTTTTGGCATGTCTTAATCCTGAATATCTGTTCCACAATTCCTGAGACTTCCTTTACAGCCATTGTTCGATGGATGCCTTAATAATTTCACAGAAGGGTTGTCATGGCCTTAGAGCCTTTTTGGGCTAGTTCGTCGGCCTTTTCATTGTCTTGATACCCAGACTAAGGTCACTTTCTGTTGACTATTTAGCTCTGTTAGGTCTTCTAGGTAGTCTTTTACCAGTCGTGATTTGATTTTTAGTGAGATAATTGTCTGTAGAGTTTCTTGGCTTTCTGAATGGACAGCAATAGTTTTGCATGATACTTGCTGATTTATTATTTTTCTTGCACAATATTGCATATTCTCCTACACTCTAGCCGAAGCGAAGTCGCTGTTTTCGACTTAGATCCAAAGATTCCAATACCTGACGAGTTCAGTCTGTATGAGAGGTCCCTGTTTCCAGGAATCTCATGGGTTTTACCACCTTTGTGCAACCATATGGCCAGAGTAGTTACACAGTTTATTAATAATTAGAAATATAAAAGTTTCCTTTTCAACAAATTAGAACACAATACTTCTGATGTTCTACAAGGTTCCCATATAGAACCCTTCTTGATCGTGCCCTACATAAACGTTTTATTTGGTGAACGCGAGTTCTGAATTTAGGTTTAGGAATTATATTTTATTTGAAAGTATAATTAAGTACTTACTTGCAGCGTCGCATAACCAATGAGTCAAGCCGTAGAATCTCCAGTAAAGTTCGTATTTTTTGTCGTGTATATTCGGGTAGTGTTCGAATGACAGCAAAAACCCGAACAATAAGTGAATTATGTCAGCACAAGCCAGAGCAGATAGGTATGTATTTGTAGAGCTACGCATTCTCCTTCTAGAAAAATAAGTTTGTTTTAATAAGTAAAAAAGGACGGAACCAAGCAAGTATTGATACACCACTGCGTTTACATTAAGATATTTGAGAAAATGTGTAAATTTCGAATTTTAAAGGAAACTCAAAAACGGATATAGAGCCAAACACCAAATTTTATACTAAACCTTTATTCTGGCATGCGGTGACCAGAGTAGATTTTTGGCAGAGTCGGAACATCTGGGGGGTAATTTTTATATTTTATGGAATATAACTATTATTTACGTTTTGAGAAGAAATTTCTTCAAATAAAAGTTGCTTCTAATATTATTCTCTATAATTTTTGTTTTAATATGATTTCTCTAAAATGGACCGTAATGAAAAAAATTTAAAGAAAAGTGTAAAATTAAAATTTTTCAGTATTTTTGTTGGCAATAAATATATATAAAAAATGTTTCGAGTAAGATGTAAGTGGAATATGTATATTGTATATATTTAGTTTATCCACTAAAAATTTACAGAGGTGATACAATAGGTTGAACAAAATAACCGAAAAAGCCTGTAATAACTAGATAGGAAAGTTATGTGTTGGACACATTGGATTTTTATTGTTTTTTAGAAGTGAATTTAAATGGCAACGTTCTACAGTGCTGGGCAAATGTGTGGAACCAAGTAAATATCTCTGGAATTGTTAGAGATATCGAAATGAAAATTGGAAGGTGGGTATAACATTAAATTGCCTATTTAATTTAATTTTGTTTAACAATTTTGAACTTCCGGTTTAACCGGAAGTAATATCGATTTTAACTTTTTTAATGAAACACCCTGTATATTATTTTAATTTCATATAAAAATTTTTATTACAAATTCAAAAATATTGGGTTCGATATTTTTTATTTCAATGCCAACCGAGATTTAACAAAAACATAACTAAAGTAAGGACAAATCTAATGATATCTAGTAGTCGAATTAAAGAAATTAATAATAATAATTTGTAGGGATGGCCGGTATCTTCTTAAATAAAACGAAGTTTAACTTTAATTAATATATTCAACATAATATTCAACACGTGGAAGCACAGGTCTCTTGACAAACCTCATGGAGGAAGGATAGTTACAAACCTCTTCTTCTTTTTATGTTACCCTTAAGGTATTTAGCCAGAGCAGGTAATTTAGCTTATATTACGGGAATATTCAACGTCTGGAATTTTCCATCTTCCCATTGAAAAGTCCATGTTCACTCTTTTCCGTTGATTACACTAATTTAAAACATCAGGAGCTGATATTCTAACTAATTGGACCATAAACTTGAGAATGTGTTCTCTATCATATTAATTTAATTTACTAGCTATATTCACTATATTTCATTTACATACAAATTCAAACAATTTTGACGCACAAATACTAAACACATAAGACAATATTCACTTCTCGATGACCGATTTTATTAAAGATTTTATCGGAAACATACTGTAATGTGAGCCATTTCATTATTCAGTCATGCTCTAACCCTACAAGTCCTTCTCTGTCTTATTTGGCCTTTGAGGCTCAACTTGTCCGATTATTATACATAATTAAACCCCTTAAGACCAAACCTATGGGACGACTATGGTGGAGACACTTTCGCGAACATTCCAGGGTCAACGAGATACTATTTCTAGAACGTTATAACGTTACTGGTACATACTGGCAATTTTGGTGGGGGAGCATTCTAGACCACCAATTTGTATATAAATTGGTGGAGGAGAGCCATCAGTTATCAGTTGATATATGGACAGTGAAGATAAATAGTAATTAGTAGATAGACAGTGGTGAATATAAATAGTGAGCGATTCAAAGACATTCGAAGTATATATAAATTAAAATAGTATTGTTTAAAATAAATAAGTGTTTAAATAAATTATTAATAAATAAACTGTTGTTTGAAAATAAACAAACATCACAATACAAACTTGACTTCCAATTGTGAGACCGCCATCTCGATGTTGATACCAGGGGCGGCTCGTGACCAAAATTTTGGGGGTTCACAGTAGCAAAATATGGATCCCGATACAGATATAGGCAGAAAACTGTCAGTGTTTTAGAAAGGTATATTATAAACTTTCTAAAACACTGAAAGTTTTTTCATACATCTGTACTGATACCTATATTTTGTCACTGTGAACCACCCCACGAACCGCCACTGGTTGATACCACGTTGTCAGAATCGGAATTTAGTTACAAACCTCCTTAAGCTTCCCGACATGGAATGTGAATGATTGACATTTGACATAAATCACTTACATTGATTGATTCCATAAAACATAAAATAAATAAAGGGTACCACCCTTGAACAATGGTTATCAGAGGAAACCAAAAATGTTACCACCTTAAAACAGTTAATAACCCGAAGGGTATGCAACCCTTTATACAATAATGATGGTGAACTGGTAGCCTATATACAATAAGTACTACAAATTATTAATTAAAACTAAATGAATTACAAAGCAGTGAAATAAAACAAGAATACCATGTAAACCGAAACTAAACTTAATGTATTAAATGTTCAAACTGAGCACCGTTTACTTCTTGACAGTAGCTATTACTTCTGGTGGAATTCTCTGAATCTCTTGTGTTATTCTTTCAGCTAATCCTTGCAAATTATTTGGTCTGTTAATATAAACCTTGGACTTTAAATAACCCCATAGAAAATAGTCCAGTGGATTAAGGTCGGGACTTCGCGCAGGCCATTCATAAGTACCCCTTCTTCCAATCCATCTATGATGAAATGTATTATCTAAACGATCTCGAACAATGCGAGCGTAATGGGGTGGTGCCCCGTCCTGCTGAACCCAAATATTATTTGGCAGATGTCCATTTACCTCCAGTGCCGGAATCACTTGTCTATCTAAAAGTTCTAAATACCTCTCCCCGTTTAAATTTTCTTGTAAGAAGAAAGGTCCCACGATTCTGTTATTGTAAATACCGGCCCAAACGTTCAATTTCTGGGGATGTTGTGTATGAGCCTCTTGTACCCAATGAGGATTATTTTGGGACCAGTAGCGGCAATTATGTCGATTAACCGTACCGTTCAAACAAAATGTAGACTCGTCTGAAAACCAAGGGCGTAGATAAGGGGGGTAATGGTAGTAATTACCCCCCAAGCCATAATCAACATCAATATTTTTTTAAACGTTATATTAAACAAAAATAGAGAGATAAAATAAATACAATAAAACAAAGAGTTTCTCAAACATTGTCATCTAAAATAATAATATTCCTGCAAATTGAAAATTAAACTTTAGGTCCCATTAGTTCGTAATTGTTCAATATTTCAATTTATGTTATTGACAAGCAAACAAGTTTTAATAAAAGTTATATGGATTTGAAAAATACATATTTTAAAAATATTTTTGGATATATTTTTGCCTGATAAATAAAAATGTATTATTTTTTAAATAGAACACCTTATATTTAATGTTTTTAAAAAATATTAGTGTTGCCAAACATTTTTTTTTAAATTAGAGAATGATGCAGACCCCAAATTAAATTATCATAATTTAGGTAGATTTACATTAATTTTAAAATTATTTAATATACAGACCTATAAAATACTAAGCTAACGAATAGAGGTGATACAACTGGTTTATTCTATACAGAGTGTTTTGAAACATGTCTTAAATATGGCTAATTTTAAGTTCAATTTACTCAATTTTTTTAAAGGCAACACACTGTATATTATTTAGGCATACAATTCCCTATAAATTTGCCCATGTAACAATACCAATGTGTTAAAGATTTAATTAGGACTATGAGCCATGTGGCCTCCCCCACCTCTATCTTTTCAGATCTATTGTGGATATCCTTTAATCATTGTTAAGAGTACCTTGTCTAATTCGGTCTTTTGTAGTAGACTCCATAGACTGGGAAGTAGTTCTCCGGTATAGCTAGTTGCCCTTGGTTTTTCTTCTCCAAGTGTAAGGAATCTCAGTCTTACTAGACCTTCGCAGTAGCACAATACGTGTTCTGCCGTTTCCTCTTCTTCTTGACAGAATCGGCACAAGGCCTCTTCTGTCAGACCGATATTGAACATATGTTTGTTAAGTCTACAATGCCCTGTTAATAGACCTACTAGTATTCTAGTATTTTTCCTATTAAGGCTTAGTAGATGCTCGGTGAGTTTAGACGATGGTCCTTTTAAGAACTTTTTGGCCTGTTTCTGTCCTGGTGAGTTTTTCCACCACTCCTGAGATTTTTTAAACATCCACTGCTTTGTGCATGTTCTGATATTTGTTTTTGTTACACCACAGAAGGGTTCTGGGCCAATAAGAGCATTTGAGGCTCCTTCTCGGGCTAGTAAATCAGCCTCTTCATTGCCCTTGTGTCCCCTGTGGCCTGGTACCCAGGCTAAGGTTAGTCTGTTTTGACTACCCAGCTCTGTTAGGGCTTCCAAACAGTCCCACACAAGCTAGTGTTAGTCAATAACACATATACAGGGTGTCCCATCAGTGCATAATTGATCGATAGCTGTTTTATTATTAGAAATAAGAAGAAATATTTAATATAAAAGTTGTAAGATCATATTTACCAAATATTCCTAAATATACAGGGTGGTCCATAAACGAGGTGCTGACCAAATCTATACTTTTTTAAAGCAAAACACCCTGCACGTAGTAATACATATTTGATTGTTTTTACATCGTCAACCAATTTTAATTGACGTCATTCATTTGCAATGTTGTATATAGGGTGTGTTAAAACACGAGGTTACGATTTTCTCAATTTTAACAACCTATATACAACATAGCAAATAAATGAAGTCTATTAAAGTTGTTTGACGATGTGAAAACAAATATAAAAATGTATAAGTTTGGTCAGCTCCTCGTTTATAGACCACCCTGTATATTTAAGAATATTTATTAAACATGGTCATACAACTTTTATATTAATTTGTGTTTCCTATTTTCAATAATAAAACAGCTATCGGTCAATTACGCAGTATTGGGACATGTTAGTATCGTTGGATAGGTAAATTTATAAGGAATTTAATGCGAAAATAATATACAATGTGTTGCATTTGACAAATTTGAGTAAATTGAACTTAAAATTAGCCATATTTAATACATGTTTCAAAATACTCTGTATAAAATAAATCAGTTCTATCACCTCGGAAATGGAATAGTCTACAAAGATCAACGAGAATTCCCTTTTTTGTGACAAATAGCGAGAGAAATATTAATCAATCTTAATCTTTATGAAAAGTAGGGTGTTCAAAAAATTTTGAATAAAATTGTTTCTTTAACCCTTTATTCTACGCCAATGGGTTCTAGTAATTTATCGAAATAGTGTGTTAAATAATAATAACGATTACCTATCATATACATATTTTTAAGTTAAAGTCTTTACTGTAAGGGAAGATATTTAGAAACTGTGTATTTATGAAATTCACCCTGTAGAATGAAAACTGGGGCGTTTATAGGAAAATTATATTTAGCTTTTCTTTATAATTGATTAAGATCTACAAATCCCCAAAATTACGGTACTTTATTCTGAAACACCCAGTATAAATATATAAAAAATTAAAAACTTCAATATAAAACTCACTCTTTTTTCTGGAAATATACATATGAACTCTAGACGTTGCATTGGTACCTTATTCTAAGATAACGCGATGCGCATTCACCAATAATGTGAAAAGTGTTACCCCCCAAGAAAACAACCTAGCTACGCGCTTGCTGAAAACACCACATTTCTTACAAAATCATTATCACGGTTGCAAATATCCATAATCGTTTCACAAAATTCTAAACGTCTGTCAAAATCGTCTTGAGTGAGCTCTTGAACAAGACGAATTTTGTATGGATGATATTTTTCTCGCCTTAATATCCTTCCTACTGAACGACCGGCTAATTGCGTACATATTGGCGAGTTCAATTGTGGATAAATGAGGATATAGCAATATTTTAAGCAACATTTTAGTTGTTGCTCTTTTTAAACGTCCACTTTTTGGTAAATTGCTGACGGTTTCACTTGTGTTGTACCTTTGCACAGTTTTTGTTACCACCGAACGTAATATCTGTGGATTCGGATGAATATTGTTCCAAAGATCACAAACTTCTTGATGCTTCCTTCTCCTGTCCCCATACCCAATCATCGTTAATATTTCCATTCTTTCTCTTTTACTTAATTCGGCCATTTTAAGATCAAATTCAAATACTACTTACTTATTTTGACATCTAATGACACTTCTACAATGATTTTCATGGACTACTAGATATTAGATTTTTTCTTACTTTATGTTTTTGATAAATGTCGGTGGGCATTGAAATAAAAAATATCGAACCCGATATTTTTGAATTCATAATAAAATACTTTATTCGAAATTAAAATAATATACAGGGTGTTTCTTTAAAAAATTTAAAATCGATATTACTTCCGGTTAAACCGAAAGTTGAAAATTGGTAAAAAAAATCAAATCAAATAGGCAATTTAATGTAATACCATAGCCTAAAGAATAATTATTCTTTAGGCTATGGTAATACCTACCTTCCTATTTTCATTTCGATCTCTAACAATTACAGAGATATTTACTTGGTTCCACACATTTGTCCATCACTGTATATTGGTTATACAAATATGTCTTATGCTCTTTTTATTTCAGAATAAAACAGTAAGCACCTAAACACCTCTTTAAATTGAGCCAAATTCTAAATATTTGACATATTTGAAATATTTGAAATTCTAAAAGACAAATGTATCTACACGAGTATAAATAGTACAAATTTGATTTTATATTCCTGAGATAATTTACCATACCTACCATAATCAGGTATGGTGTATGGTAATAGCAAGTTTTGAGTTTCCTCGTATAATCTTTTACTAATAATAGACCTTGGCTCGTTGACATGCTCTTAAGTAAACATAAGCTTTGTTCGCGGATCCGATTCCGAACGTATTCTGAAGTTAGAAGTTAGACCATACATACACGCCTACATAAACATTTAAACAATACAAATCCAGTTATAATATATTATGCAGTGTAATTTTCACCTTAGCGTTCAAAATATTTTCGGGATCGGCTCCGCGAACATAGCTATTACATTAATTTTTAGCAAAGGCATAAGGTAGGGCATTAGGTTAGACATGATGTCTATGGGGGTTAGAGTGGTTAGACCAATGATTTCCATATTCTAAATTCAACTCCTATTTATTGAACATTTCAACATCTTTATTAATAGAATAATAATTGCAGCTTCATAATTTAAAATAGTTACCAAATATGATTATCATAGTTCTTACCTTGTTAGTACCATAACAGTGATGGTATTTCCTAGAAGACCTAGACATAGTAATATCGGTACCAATACTCGTTGAACCCAAAATCTTGATCCTGTCAAAAAAGCGTAAGAGTATGCCTCGTCCTCGTCCATTTTAAAAGGCCTAAAAAAATGATTTGAATTAGGTGATATAATAATAACACATCAAAAAATAGATCACTACGTAGCAACTACATTTCTTTCACCAGATATTGAAATAAATTCCCATTATTTAGTGAAACATCCTGTATACAGGGTGTTCAAAAATGAGAGGTATATATTTTAACATATTATTATATAGGTTAAAATAGGACAGAGTTTCCTATAAACATACAGGGTGGCCCATTAGTGAGTGGAAGTCTTATGTTACTGTAACCTACCGCACCCAGGTACCTTAATAATTTATTAATTCCATTTATTAAATACAATATTGCATTCTTTTAAATTCAAAATTCTTCATTTAACGAAAAATCTCTTAGATAATTAAATCTTATTTACGACACCTAATAAATAATAGCTATAACCACGTCCGTAAAGATCCAAAATTAGTCCACGTGTCTCTGAGAACCAGCCCAAAGAAAACACCATCAAGCGTATTTCTGTTTACGAAGTGATTATCATTAAAACACTTAACTCGCTTATATTTCTAGTTTCGATTTCTAGACCGATTTCGACAATATTTCAATACACAAAGATTTCAAAACAAGTAATAAATAACCCACCCCCTTTTGCACCTACATTCGTATTTTCTATGAGAACCAAAACGATAGAGACGTCACAGAAACAATTAAACTGTGTATAAAAAGTCTGACGAAAAGGAGCTCTGATTCATTCAATTTTTATCATTTGATGTGCAAGCATACATTTTATTATTTTACATTCAAGCAATCACTTTATTGTCTGTACCCAGTTATATAGTCTGTACTCTTCCTAAACTCTCTTCCTAAACGACGTCTATTCTACAATACCTCCTATCCCCGAAGGTGTCAACGTCTCGACGCCCAATGTCCTGCCGTCCTGCTCCCTACGTCTGGAACGCTGTCACATTCCTCACTATCTAAGTATTTCCTACCGTACACTAATTTCGACGCTCAACGTCCCACGCCTTATTTCCGACGCTTGCCGTCCATAAATATTTCCTTCATATCACGTCCCGCACCACCTACATAATTCTACCGTATATCTGTCCCAATACAGTACCGTATTAAATGCTCTCCTTTCCACCACGACGCTAGGCGTCTCGACGCGAGGCGGCGCCCAACGCCGCGACGTACCTAAATCGACGCCTTCCACGACGCTAGATGAAATTAGTACATAATCTAATGTCTGTATTTTCAGTGGTGAGTCAGAAGATTTACGTATCTTTCTTTGAGATACCACCCCGGTTTCGTTTAAGGGCAGGCTTGACATTTGCTGTAAAATATCAATAAACCACATGGCCTTCAGGTCATACACCCCGAAAGAAATTTTGAGTATTTTAATAGAAATTATAAAAATCAATATTAAGAAATATACAGGGTTATATTAAGTTAACTCAATAGAAATTATAAAAATCAATATTTTAGAAATATACAGGGATGTGCTATCTTGGATAAATTGTACAAACCAAGATGGTAAAATTTAAAAGTAAGTTAACCAACTGGCGAATACGCTGTTCGTTAGCTAAGCAACCCGTTCTACAAGGTTTGAAACAAAGTATATATTAAATCAACATAGTAAGGTAATCAACTACTGGCGAATTGGCGCTGTTTGTTACTTCCGTTGTTCATCACCTCTATACTCATCGTAATATTTACCTAAGAGGGTGCAACCTGTATATATCTACAATAGAATCAAATCAACATCAACTCAATAGTTAACCAACAAGCGAATTGGCGCTGTTCGTTAACTTCATTGGTCATCAACCTAAATAAGAATATAAACATAAACACAGTAGTTAAGCAACTGGCGAATTGACGCTGTTCGTTAACTCCGTTGGTCATCAACCTAAATAAAATATATATTGATAGCAAATGAATATGGTCTGCGTTTGAACGGGACTCAAGTGAGATCTCAGTAAATAGTACCAATTGTAATATGCTTTGTTAATTGTATCAAATTTAAGTATGACAAATATAAAAGAGTTTAAATATGAATTTGTATGTTTTATTTATCAATTTTCACCAAACTTTGCATCGAATTCTGGTTTACCTTAATTAACATTATCACAACGTGGGTATATAAATTATTAATTAATTAACTAGACGATCACTTTTACTACTAGAGGAAAAAGGCCAAATACAGTAAATACTTCAAATTTGACAAAACTAATTCCAAAACTTTATACTCCAGTCAAATAGGGATTCAATCTCGGAATGAAAGATAATGAGCTGTAAATTTAAATAAATCTTTATTTTGACATTTTATAAGTTTGCTCAAAAGACTTATTGAATGACTCGAAGCAAGATGTTTAAGGTCAAAGTTTTGAGTGCTCTAAATTACATTTGGATTTATTTGAAAAGTTCGGCGGAGGACCAGGGACCTAATTCCTGACGGCGTTCGTCGTCATCTTGCATGCGGTGACGTCTGCGAGTAGAAAAATGGTATTCTTGAAAGGCTTTGCCGTATGCGAGTGATCCCGCATGCGTTACTTGGCGAATGATTTGCAACGAACCTTATCTTGCATGCGGTAACTATGGGTATCCAAGCACTGTCACATAGATCTAATATAAGTATATTCTTCCTAATTTATTTTTTTAATGAATTTTTTATAATTACCAAGTGTTCATTATTCATTATGTCATTAACTTTACTTAGTTATTGTATTTATAACTGTACATTTTTTATAAATTGAACGATATTACGAAGGCGTAGAACCGCCACAAAAATTTTTTTTTCAAATTTCGACTTGTAACTTGGAATTCCGACTTGTTTCTCGGAATTTCGACTTGTATCTCGGAATTTCGACTCATACCTCGGAATTCCGACATACAACTCGGAATTTAAATTCAGAGGTCTGAAATCACAATTATTTAGTTTGTTTACTGTTTTGTTGTTGTTTATTGTATAATTTGTTTGTTTTTATAATTTTCATTAATGGTTTTTCAGGGTACCCTTAAAAGTCATGAATGTTTAGCTTGTTTTTATTTTCATACTTTTAGGTTTTTCATTAATTAAATTAAAAACTCTTGCCTAATTTTTGTATTTATTCCAAATATCAAAAAAAAAATACAACTATTAAAGTAAGTTTTATTAAAATACATATTTATTATCTGTTCGATACAAAGTAAAAAGTCAGTTAATTAATAATACAATTAAATTTCTTAATTGTATGTAATTATAAATATAATGCCGAATTATATTCTTTCACTAGTGGGTATCTGTTTTTGAAATTAAAATTCTGCACAAATCATTATATCTCTTTGTCACATGGATATTCGTTGAATGTGCAGTCATCGGAAAGGGCATCAACAGTAAAATTTGGAATTTCAACACAATAGTTCTTTGCTCCATAAAGTGACGGTATGTCGAACATTATTGCAGGTCTTTCAGTAGGTGCTATACTATTTCTAGATTTAATTATTTTATGAACATTTCACTTAATAACAACTTCGTTGAGGTCCTCCTAAAATTAATAATTGATATTATTAATAATGATATAATTTTGAGATTTATTTATTAAATTTATATTTTTACTTTTTAAACAAGAATTCTTATCTGAATCAGAGTCATAAAATAAAATTTTCCGTTTATTCTCAATCTCTATTTCCAAATACGTACTCAAATTTATTTTAAGGAGGTCCTTTCGCCACCAATGTTAAATAAAAATTATTAGATTATGACTAAAATTAATTTTTTTCTAATAGTTGAAGTCCTTATTTATCTAATAGTGAACTTTTAACTATACCTTACCGTGCAAATTTTTGAGATTTTTTTTTTAAATGTGGGTATTTGTACAGTGTCTTACGAGAAAGTAAGACTTTAACAAAAATTTTCGAATTATAATTAAGTATACTATTATTTATTGATTAGACAGAGTAAAAAAAAACTAAAAATAGGGTTTTTGAAATATTTAGGTTTTGTTTTTTACAATAAAATATATAGGTTACCGTGGAATTTATTAAGAAATTAATATTAAAAAATAACAAAAAATTTTCAACTAGGTTACTTGATTTTTTTTTTCATCAAATGTAGAGGGATGAGGTTTAAGATCACCTCCATTGCGGCCGTAGGACAGGTTCTCATTGCACTAGTAATGCAAACACAGGCTAGTCTTTGTACTTTTGAGATATTAGCTCTCGTAGTAGCTAGACTAGTTCTGTTACTCCGCTATAGCCCCGTCTTACTATTGCAGTATACATCTATCGCAGTATGTTTGGGTTACATCCCCATCGTTTACCTGCAATGTTTCTGCATACCATTAGGGCTTTTGTGGCCTTATTTACTACTTCCTTCTCATATGTGTTTCAGAGAAGTTTGTGGTCCAGGGTTAGGCCTAGATATTTGACTTTATTTTTCCATTCTATATCTATACCGTCTAATTTAACGGTTTTGAGATTAAGTTTTCTTTTCCTTGAAAAGGCTACTAGTGTTGTTTTTGTAGGGTTTATCCCACTTCACGGCACCATCTTTTGGTATGTTCTAGTTTTCGTTGGACTATATCACACAGGATATTACTAAACTTGCCACAAATATGACTATGTCGTCGGCATAACCTTGACAGAGTATGCCGAGGTCGGTCAATCTGCATAGAAGTTCGTCAACGATTAGGCTCCACATTAGTGGGGATAGAACTCCTCCTTGTGGACATCCTCTGGTTGTGCAGATGGAGATGGTGTCCTGCCCTATCTGTGTCTCTGCAGTTCTCTTAGATAACAGCTGAGCCATCCATCTGGATGTGATGTTATCTACTCCTCTGTATGCAAGTGCCCTGTTTACAGATTCGTGTGGCGTGTTGTCAAAAGTTCCTTCTATGTCTAGGAAGGCACACACGACCGTTTCTTTGTTTGTCAGTGCATCCTGGATTACATCAGTCAACTGTACCAGGGCAGTTGCTGTAGATTTTCCTGCTCGGTACGCGTGTTGGCTGTGGTGGAGTGGCACTCTCACCAGGACTTCTGATATAATTATCAACAGCCTTCTCCA